AACAATAAACTTTGGTCATTCTGGACTTTCAGGGCAAGGCCCAAGGATTACACACTCAGAGGACCACTTGGTTTCTGCAGGGCTGTGCCCGTGCCCCGGGCACTCCTCTCTGCCTCTGCCATTCTCCCCCCACTCCCTCCCCCTCCTCTTGGCACCAGCACTCCAATGTCTAAGATGCAATACCACCCAACATGAACTCCCTTTCTTACGATGCAAAGCTCCCTTCCCTAGGTGGCTTCTCAGTGCTGAGCTCTGAGGTAGGATGAGCTAAGGGACTTGTGGGGCCAGCAAAAAGGAGGAGGTAAAAGGGTGAACCAGACAAGGCTCCTGCCCTTCAAGGAGCTCTTGACCTCCAGGGGAGAGAGAGGTGCTCAGAGAGGCCAGAGAATGGTAAAGAGCAGAGTCCACTGGGTCCAGGGAGCCAGAGAACAAGCCAGATGTCGGGCAGGACTACCCCGGCCTCCAGCTCTTGCCAGTCACTGCCCACCTGAGAGCTCCTCTCTATGAGGCATAGTCCTCACCCGCCCCCTGGGATGGGTCTGCCAGTGGGCAGGGGACTCTGGCCAAACTGAGCAAGACCATCTGCCTCCCTCCCTCCCTCAGGGCCGTGTGTCCTTCAAGCCCAGCTTAGAACAACAGCGCTCATGCCCAACCTGTACAGACTCACTCCTCAACGGGGATTTCACCATCACCTATGACGTGAACCGAGAGTCTCCAGCCAACGTACAGGTACCTGGGGCCAGGCTAGTAAATTTACCATCATGGTGGGGTGAGGGCTGGTGTGGGGGTGGGTGCAGCTTCACCTAGTCCCATCGCCCTTGACCCTCAGCTTTAGCTGAGCTTTCCTGCAAGATGCGGCACAGCAGACAGTCCAGAGCCTCTGGAGGGTGGGCAAGGAACATCTTTTTCTTGGGCTGGTAAATGTCTGGCTTCTATTTGCAAGGGTGGCCAAGGTGATGTTGCCAACAGCCTTAGGATCTGTCTCTCTCATCTTTCCAGATAGTCAATGGCTATTTTGTGCACTTCTTTGCACCTCAAGGCCTTCCATCGGTGCCTAAGAATGTGGTCTTTGTGATTGATACCAGCGGCTCCATGCATGGTCAGAAAATACAGCAGGTACTCCTCTGGGTGCACGTGGGGAAGGGAGCAGGGTAAGAGTTTTTTTTTTTTAAGTGGAAAAAAGCTGATATTTCTGGTGAAAGAGGAGGAATGGGGACAAGATCTTTAACTCACAAAGCATCTGCCCCCTCTTGTGGAGAGCCTCAGGCATGACTCAGTGGTGCAGACGGCGGCATTCTACCTCAGGCTGAGAGGAGATGTCCCTCAGTTGCCATCTCCCAGCTTCTTGCCTGCTGTCTCTCTCTTTCCCAGACAAGGGACGCCCTCCTCAAAATCCTGGAGGATATGAAGAAGGAGGACTACCTGAATTTCATCCTGTTCAGTGGCTATGTGACCAATTGGAAAGACAGCTTAGTCCAAGCCACTCCGGAGAACCTCCAGGAGGCCAGGACGTTTGTGAGGAACATTCAGAGTAGTGGAAGTAAGAGCAGAAAGGAGAGCAGACACTTATCCTGCTGGCTCCTTCCTCTGCCCTGAGCTGCCTGTCTGCCTCCTGCTTGGGGGCAGAGACTCTTGGTCCCAGGCCCTGCAGACCTTGCCCGGAGGTAGAGGCGGAGGTGAGGGTCCTCAGACCTGAAGCAGGACTTTCAGATGTCTTCTGTGGGTCTAGGGAAACATTCATCTGTTTCTAACCCATCATCCTGGTGCCCTACTAGTCCCAAAAAGATAAGGCCCCAAACGCCTGTTGTCCCGACTGCCCCCACTCCAGCATCCTTGCACCCTGGCACCCTGGCACCCTGAGGACTCTGCCATGGTGCTGTCTGTCTTTCTGTGTCCTAGTGACAAACATAAATGACGGGCTGCTGAGGGGCATCAGTATGCTGAACAAGGCCCGGGAAGAGCATACGGTCCCAGAGAGGAGCACCTCCATCATCATCATGCTGACGGATGGGGACGCCAACGTAGGTGAGAGTGGTGGGTGTGGCAGGTGAGAGAGGTGTGTGTGCCCGACTGCCACTCCTGGCTCTGTGGTCTGCTCACCGCAAGACCTT